GAACCCGCCAGCTCAGGTATATGTGGCTGGCGCCTTAGCCGCTTGAGCCACAGGCGCTGAGCCTTCCCCATCTTTAAAATTCCTCTTAAAAATGTAATTTTCCAGTTCATCACCCATAAACTGCCCATAAACTGAGCACTTATAGGCCACGCACAGTGGTTATAGTGCCAGCCACATACACCAAGGCTGTCAGGTTCGAACCTGGCCCAGGCCAGCTAAACAACAATGCAACAACTGCAACAAAAAAAAAAATAGCCAGGTGTTGTGGCAGTACCAGCTATTTGGGAGGCTGAGGCAAGAGAATCGCTTAAGCCCAAGAGTATGAGGCTGCTGTGAGCTGTGACACCACGGTACTCTACCGAGGGCGACATAGTAAGACTCTGTCTCAAAAAAAAAAAAAAAAAGTAATTTTCCCTGAGGAAGGTTGTTAGATTCAGGGTTGACTTCCAAGGCAATTGTTCAACTCCCAAATCAATGCCTTAATCCCTGGATTTAAGACTTTTAAATTGATTTGATGTGTTAGTCAATTGTCATTGATGTTTTTGTATATCCTTAATCAAAAACCCTTTCTTAAAGTTCAAGAAGGTCTGAGAAATTCTAGTGGCTTGAATGAAAAGCTAAACTAGAAAGCAAGTAAAGTCCAGTTCCAGCTGTTAACCCACCCCTGATTAAACCATATAACATTCAGGCCTCAGTATTCCTACCTGAAAAGCAGTGGGACTTGGGCCAGCTCTGGACAAGCTGGGGAGAGGGGGTGTCGAATCACCAGGGACCAGGGAAAAGGGATGCTAACTCTCTCGGATGTCACCCTTGGCTGTCCTGCCTCACTTCATCCTTCAAATGTCTCCAGCTAGCAAGTGGAATCAGCAAGGTCTCTAAGACCCATTCTAGCTTGGTGATTCTGAGTGTGGAGAGTCTTTATACGCAAAACATGTTAAGGAAATCTCTTCCTGGGATGAAATAAGTTGGCAAAAGGAGAGTAACTGTTTAAGAGTATCTTTGTGTCTCTCTGTCTGTCCAGGAACTTGACCTAAGGAGGTCAGATTATAGCTGGACAAAATAGTAAGGATCAGAAACAAATCCAGTTCCAGGTCCTCACCTCCGCCAGGCTGCTTTTTTGTGATTCCACTCACTGGCCAAAGAGGGAGCCCCACATCTGCCCTTATGAGTGTCTTCTCACACAACTCATTTGGTGACCAAATGGACAGAATGAATATGCAAGAACTCTCACAATGAAAGCTAAAATGCTGGAAAACTGGGAGAGCGAAATGGTCACACCCATGCTTAACATCCATAACAGGTACTGCCCACGCCCGGTGGTCCAGTACGTGGGTGAGGGGCAGGGGAGTGGGGGCTGCCTGCCTGGGAGTTCAAGCCAATAAGGACCTACATCAACCCCAGTGGCTTAGCAGCCCAGTTTGAAGTGTGAGCTTTCAAGATGGTCCTTTAGTGTAATATGTATAATGTAAGGTCAAAGGTCAAATTGTCCCTCTTACTTCGAACTCCCAGTTTTAGGGCTTTCTTTTCATGGAGAGCCGGGAAGGGAGGGAGAGAGGGGTGGCAATGGTGAAATCAAATCTCTGCTGGGATGTTAATCCATATCCTGAAAGCAATGGCAGGCAGATCGTCTGGAATGTCTGGAATGTTCCAGGAGAGGGAGGGGGTGGGAGGGCAGGGCCACCCAACCAATGAAATAAAAGACATCCTGGCAGCACTCCCCTACCCCCAACCAATAGACTCACCCAGCCCTCCAGGGCACACACCCCACTCTGGGAACTCACTCCTGGCCCCTCCAGGCCTGCTTCTCGCAGAGCCCCCAGCCCTGATTAAAATACAACAGGCAGGGCAGGGAGGCTCAGAGGCCAAAGCTTTGTCTTTTAAGCCCTTGGCCTGGTTTCTATTAAGTATGGTGCTACCTAATTTCTTTCAGGCTCAAAGCACATGGGGCACTGTTGAGAACTGTAACCCATATTCTAGTCTTGGTCTCATTCATTCCACTTCTAAGAGTAGCCTCAGTTTGGACTGGGCCAGATTGCGCTGAGGACTTGGAAGAACTGCGAAAGAAGCTAAGAGCACCCTCACTGGTTACTTCTTCACTCTGTGCCTTAGTTATCTCCCATGGAACTTAGATAAGGCTTTTGTTGAGGTCTTAAGACAGGATGCCTGCCACGTAGTAACCACTCAATCCATAACCCCCATCCCTGGCGGCTGCAGGTCCTTGGTGGCTGCAGAATAAGACCAGCATGCAAAAAGAGTCAGAAAGGGGCTCGGTGTCTGTAGAACAATGGTTAAGGCACCAGCCACATGCACCGAGGGTGGTGGGTTCAAACTGGGCCTGGGCCAGCTAAACAACAACTGCAACAAAAAATAGCCGGGCATTGTGGCAAACACCTGTGGTCCCAACTACTTGAGAGGCTGAGGCAAGAGAATCGCTTAAACCCAAGGTTGCTGTGAGCTGTAACGCTACGGGACTCTACGGAGGGAGACATAGTGAGACTCTGTCTCAATAAAAAACAAAAGAAGAAGGTAGGCTGACCATGAGCTGCTGCTTAGCAGGATGGTAAGAGTTGTTAAAATATTTAAAGACTTCTGCACTGGTGGAAAAGCAGTAGAAAATATCACTGTTGAGAGTCCTCTGACCTCCCCAATTAAAAGGTTATGGTCTGGCCCAACAACCCACTCCAGCCTAGTAAACCAGGGTTAAGCAGTGTCTCTGCACTACATGTAATGGGGCAATATCCCCTGAGCACTTTCTATATATCTTCAATGCCTAAACCAACACTCATTGTTCAGAAAAGGGAAGAGAACTCCCAGAGTTTATTAACTCCCCTCACCTTCCCCTAGCTGATAAATCTGTTTATTGAAAGAATGAAGCTGCCAGCCCCTGGCAATAATAGTAATGGGTGCACCAGCCTAATTATGTCCCTGGGTGCCAACACTCCATGGTTTCTGGTAGCTTCTGCCTGCCCTAATCCTCACAGTAGTTATGGCACAGGTCGTAGGGGGCAGCTCACCAGATACATAACAACTACAGAGGACCCACCTCTCTAAAGCTGCCAGGCTAAGCAGAGGGCATGAGGGCCACGGAGACTGAGTGACACCCAGGGGGGCCTGCCACGGTGGCTCACGCCTGTAATCTTAGCACTTTGGGAGGCCAAGATGGGCAGATTGCCTGAGATCAAGAGTTTGAGACCAGACTGAGCAAGAGGGAGACCTCATCTCTAAAAATAGCGGGGTATTGTGGTGGGTGCCTGTAGTACCTGCTACTTGGGAGGTTGAGACCAGGGAATCACTTGAGCCCAGGAGTTTGAGGTTGCTGTGAGCTATGATGCCACGGTCCTCTACCCAGGGCAACAGACTGCGACTCTGTCTCCAAAAAAAAAAAGAAAGAAAAGAAAAAAGAAAACCCAAGAGAGATTCAGGAGAAAGCAATGGGAGAAAGCATCCTTGCAACAGTCTAAGGGGTTTAGTAGGAAGTAAGAAG